ACGTTTCCTTCAACTACCTTTCTTTCCACTCTGACATTCGACTATCGCACTTTATATTCACTTCACAAGAATTCATTATTGGATTTTATCAAGCTTATGGAAATTCGGCTTAAATTGGTCCTTCAACTCCGTATTATTTTCATGCCCTTATGCGTTTTAATAAATTTACCAGATAGCTGGACTAATTAGTTTGCAATTGAAAAGGACAAGTGCAAATAATTGCCCAAGTGTTGTTGACAAAACAGAATTTTCATTAATATTAAATCAGCAGGCTGGTAAGCAATTTACCGATTGAGACTCATTATTAACACAGCGACAGAATCTGTGGGCCTTAATTTTTGTGTGGAAATCCTTTTTGGAATACTAATTAAGCCCGGCAGAAGAACGTATGGCACTCTTGATTGTAGTGGCAAGAGAGGAGGATTCGTGGTGAAAAAGTAAAAGCCAAAGCCTGCTTGGCAGGGCATAAACCACACTCCGCCCGACCACTTAATCAGTGACGTGAGCTCGGAAAATTGTCAGCTGCAGTTTCCGCTGCAGCAACCACAGCAAACCACACGTGTGACAACGGACCACAAAACACAACCACTGTGCAAAAAGCGATTAAAGACATTTCAATTTAATTGGTCATTTTCCATACACAGGAAAAATAACAAAAAACTAACCTTCGGGCCTGACAAAGAGTTGCCCCAATTTTGTTTCTCAGATACCTTTGTTCTTGAAGGCAAACAAACAATGTTGGGCTTGAAAAACTAAAATAATCGCAAACATTTTGATTAAAGTTTTCTGTTTATTTGTAGGATTACTTAATGAAATAAATACACAAAAATAGGATCGGTTGATAGTAAAACAATATTTTAAGTTCCATGTTTTAAGCCGTTTGTCTATAATATAAAACCGTTCGTCAAGAAAACACATTAACAATGATAGTATTATTTATTTGTTTTTACATTTCTATTAGAGGACTTTTCAGTTTAAATCATTGTTATTTGTGTGTACCAGAGCAATTATTTATACCATAATTTATTTCGCATTTTTGCTGGCACAATATTTTCGCCATTGTCAATTAAGTGCTTGTGGCTGGATTCCTCGAAAATATTAAATTTAATTTAATAAAATATGACAGATATATGAGCCACTCGAAAAGGCTCTACCACAAGTTGTTTAGCCTGGGAAATCGCCAAATTCCGCGCGAAAAGCCAGCAAAAGTTTTCAGCTCTCGTCACACCGCCACTCCCAGGGATGTAATTAATTTGCAACATGCAGAGAGCTCCTGCTCCTCGGCTTCTGCATATGCAAAACTTTGGTGGTGCGGCTGCTGCCTGTGCTGCAGAAACTTTGTGTCTGCTAAATTGAATCAAATTTGCCGCCTACGACTATAGTAGCCCTCGGCGCGACTCGCCAAATTGCAGTTAATGAAATCTGCAATTGAAATGAGGTCCTGCAAGGACGATGGCGCTTTCCGGTGGTATTCATTTAAAATGATTACAGAAATGTCACAATATTTTTTATTTTCATTATTGCAGCTCTTGTAAAGCTTCACATTTACTCAAAAAAAGAAAATTTAGAATAAGTTATTTAAAATTTTTCTCTGTGTCAAATTTTTCTGGCTGTGAGTAATAGCTATGTCTTTTTTTTGGTAACCAAAAGTTTTATGTTTCCAGTGCGGGATGAGTTGTGAGTGAAATTCTAGTCTGCAGTTTGCTCACTAAGCTGGCAGCTGCCAACTGCAGTTTCAGTCAAATAAAAATGGCAGCAACATAAACCGAAATAAGAGCCGGTGAAAAGCCAACACAGCTATGAAAGCTTTCATCCAGATATTTATTGCCATCTATTAGTATATATACCAAAATGTATGTACTTTAATTGAAAATGAATTGCTTTTTAGGTAACTCAAGTCCTTGGCTCCAGTCCTGTGCTCCCTGGTTCTAAGTTCGTTTCAATAGGTGGTTTCTTTTCATCATGGAATTTCTCCTTCCCGCTGCCTGTTGCTTTTTGAGGCATTTTCAGCAAAAATCTATGGGTTTTGGGGTGCTTAGGTGCGAAATGTTGGCAAAGAGCTCGCCATGAATAATAGAAACTGGATGGGGCGTTGACGGCTTTAGTTAAAATGTTGGCCCTGCCAAAAAGGATAAGTGATTCCGAGTTTTCCACTTTGAATTTCACCTGTGGCCAATAGTCAGTCAGGGGAATTCCCTCAAGATTCCTTGGCCAATCGACATCAAAATGTTTTTATAATAGTTGTGAAGACTTTCTGTTTTTACAATCAATCTAGAGTATTTTATTTCTGCATATCTTTTAACAAAACAATCAATCATTTTCTAATGACAGGATTCTAATGCTCATTTAATATTCTGTCTCTGTCCAATTAATTTCTGGGCTTATTTATATTAAAGTACTGCCTTTGATGGCTGACAGCCGAGAAGTTTGGTAAAACTTAATTTTGTTTAAGGCGTCATTTTCCTCTCGGTAGGTCAAGAACCTCGCACTAGAAGCAACAGAACGCAAATTACAGGCTTACAACAAAGGGCAAACGTCGAAAAGCTAAATTAAGCCAAACGCCTCAGAGTGGACCTAAGTTGTATGCAAATTTAATGTCACTTGCTGTAAATTTAAAAAAATGGTCTTATTCTTTATCATTTATGGAATACTAGTTGGCTACTTTTTTTTTAATCAAAAGGGTGTCGTGAAAAAAAAGGTTTAGGATAATTTTACAAATCAAAAAATATATCAATATATCATTATTTGTAGTACTATTTGTATATTCAGTATTTTCGTTTCGAAAGAAAAAAATACTATGTAGTAACCTTAAGCATTCCATTGCACGTTAATTATAGTTTTCATATTTGCCGTAACGACGTTATTATAAGGTTCACCCTAATGTACACGTGGATATTTGGAAAGCGAAGGCGGTGCGTCATATCCGTTTTGGCTCGGAATATTTTTTTACGGTTCGCGTGAAGAAAAGCTTTACCAAATTGGGAAACTGAGTATTATGTCCACATGCGGGAGGAGTAAACAATTGAGTGACTTATTACTCGGCATTACCCTCTGGCTTAGTTCGCCCCGGAGCTCAAGTACCCGTCACCAGGCAGGCATCGATTTTGTTCCCTCGGTTAATGGTATTCCATGGGCGACAGCAAACATGAAAACAATACTAAATACAGCCATTGTTCATATTTCTAGTTGACTGTCTGTCTGCGTCCCGAGTATCCTGTCTGTCTGCCTGAATATGTGTGTGTGACTGTGGCAGTTGCCCATAGTTACGCAGGACCCCAACAACAGAAAGACAGCGCGTTCCAGTTAAGCAGGAGTCCAGGAGAAGTCTTTATTAATCCTTTGTGTATTTTTAGCGGCCACTTTATGAGTTGACGGCCATATATCTTCCTGTTGATTTGTGCCAAGTGTAAATTGGCTCCATCGCTCCCTCTTTTTCTGCTACATTTTCTTTTATATTCCAGAAATAAATTTGTGTTTACTTTAACTTGAGAAAATGTCCCAAACGAATGTTCAGAGAGATTAATGGTGTATGCTAACACTTTTCCAGAAAACGAGCTTTCCTAACTGAATTAATATTTTTCACTTATCCTTTAGCTACTCGTAAATGCGAATATAGAATTTCCTAACAAATTTTTAAAGTATAAATGCAAATACATAAACTATCTTCAAGGAATGTGTAAAAAAAGCTCTTTAAAATGGCAATAGAAAAATGTATGTATCCTATCTTAAAGATTATGTTCTTTGTTTGTTTTTATATATAACTCAAATTCGATCAAACGAAAAGGCGGAAAATAAAAAATTTTCCAACAATTGCACTTGCAATTCGTGGCATTTTGCTTTCATGATGTACTTCCATTAAGGAGCTTCGGAAAGCTAGGAATAGCTTCTTATTATTTCATAAGCCATCACGGCACGAAATCGAATGGAAACCCAGAACTCCCAATAAGTGGCAACCAAAATCGCCCACATCGAAGGGCTTCGATTTATGTTCTAGTGGGTGCTAGAAGGTTGGGGTGAGGAGTTTCGTGCCACCCAACATAATTAGGGCCAATGACAATCCTATCGGGCTGCAGCGACTGCACCACCAAAGCTGGGTTTCGATTTATTTGGACGCCGTTGCCCGGACAACAGACGGCCAGGTGGCCACGAAGAATTGGGCACAACAAAACCATTCGGAAAAGGCGTAAAGGCACTTGGGTGTTGGGAGGGCGGCACATTTAGAGCGGTCAGATTTGAGGGCAAAAAGTGAACAATTCCGGGGACTGGAAATGTCGGCTGATGGCCCCCTTCGGCTGGTGCTGATTGCTCTGTGCTGCACAATTATTTCAAGAAAGGATACGTTTTTGTTTTTTTGTCAGAGTTTCACGATTCGTCTGGTAATGAAAGCAGAACCACAAAAATGGCATTGCTGACATGACTTGACCGCGAGGAAAACGGTTTAAAAATGTTGTAGCCTTAAAGTAAATTTTTAATATTATTCGGGGAGCCCCAGTTAATCATAGCATTTAAATGTTTTCTACTTGGCCACGAAAGTTTGGTTTCAAAATGCGATTTAAAAAAGTACTTATTTAGAGGAACATATTTAATCAAATCGTGTTTTTAAACAAAAGTAAAGTCAATTGATGAATCTAAGTAAATGTAAGTACATGGTGGAAGTTTTGTCGATAGATATAAATATTGTGCCCATATTTAAAGAGTAAAGTAAAATTCTTAAATTTAAAGCGTAGTTTTGAAAAATATATTTATTTTTGTATATAGAGTAGAACACTTTTATCAAAAATGTAGGTTGTAAATTTGTTGAAAACTTAATACAGAATTAAAAAAGGTTATAAATTTTATAAAGACCGAAATTAGATGTATACATACATATGTACATAGGCGGTATTATCGTTATCTTTTAAATGTCAATCATAATTCGTTATCTTTTCGTATAAGCTTTCATATTTAGCTTTCGTTGAAGCAATTTTTTCAGTTGTAACCAATCTATCAGAGGAATAGTTAGTAAGTAACTCCTCAGCGAAGTAAAAAATGAATTTCGTAAATGCTTATATAGTCCTTGTGGCCTATGTATATCGGCAGCAAATTCCGATCCTTTAACCTCTATACAGATAAAAGAGGTAAGCTGAACCATTTACATTGATCAGCACATTCTTTAGTTGTACATCCCACCAGAAAATCAAGACAACGACGGATACACTAACCTCTATTGATAAGCTTTTGCTTGAGTAAGTATGAAAAATTCGTGTGACTCTAGGGTCGCCATCTTTTTCATAGCTTGGAGGCTCGTCGAGAGTCCTTACAGCAGATGAAGGAATCTTTCAGCCAAGAAAGGGCCGACATCTACCCCACTTCCTGTCTGTCTACGGACAACCAAAACCGCTCAAGTCTTATGGTGCAGGTCCCGGGGCACCCTGGTTTTTATGTTGCCTGCGATACTTCCCAGTTGGCCGAACTGGGCTGGTTGGTCATTCAGAGGCGCAAGAGCGGCAAGGTTAATTTTTTTGGAGACTCCCTAAGCTACCACAAGGGACAGGCGTTTTCCACATACGATCAGGACAATGATAAATCCGGTAACACAAACTGCGCCCAATTCCATGTCGGAGCTTGGTGGTACAACAATTGTGCTCAGAGGTATGTACAATGTCACATGTTTAGTATTTTAGGACGCTCATTTACACAATTACTGTCTAATTGAATTACTATGAATACGTATATCAAACTATCTTTATTTCAATGAAGAAATATTGAAAATAATTATTTGTATGTATAGTTAATATATAGAATTTATGGGCGATTTATTGAAGTATTTTATTACAGATAACAAGTACTTATATGATATATTTCTAGTAATCTAAATGGTCAACATGTCGACATTTTTGGCAAATTACCCGAAGACAAGGCGCGATTGATTACCTGGAATTCATTTAACACGAGTTCTCATTTCTCATTTGTTCAAATGATGATTCGTCCCAAATTCGGATGTTTTTAGATATTTAAGGAGAGACTTTCTATGTCATGGAATGCAAATCAAAGTTTACATTGATATATTAAAAAAATATTGTGCAAACCTTATGTTTTTATTAGTATAATAAAATCTTAAATTTCACCGCCAATTGCTCTGACAATACTCTACTTAAAAGTTCAGACGAATATGTACAATAAATTGGTGACTAGATCCGATTTTAAAACATACCTGTTGTTCCATTTTCTGATTGCGACTGTTAATTGCTGACATTTTCGCAACTGTGGCAACTCTAGTTTACAGAACAAAATCTTTGTGTTTTGCTAGCTTGCACTAAACTAAGCGATGTCGATGATCCAATGGAGGGGCATTTGGCAAATTCCGGCGAGACAGCTGCAGGGAAATTGTTGTGAGACTTCGGGGCGAAGAAGAATGCGAATGAAGGCAGCAAAACAAAAATCCGAAGAATCGGCCAAGACCAAGGCACTCGCACTGAATATCGCACACCTGGCGACAGTTTGTGGCGTGTGGTACTGTTGTAGTTTGTAGTTCTGTAGCACACGCGACACCAAAGAACAAGGGGTGTTGAGAGAAGAGTGGGCGGGGGAAGAAGGGCCGAAGCCGACAGCCGGCTCTTCCTGTTCTCGCTCTCTATTTTCCTATTTCCCGACGCGATCGGTATCGCGATTGATATTCCCCGGACTTCAAGCCGATTGGACAACTGAATGTTTGCTTTAGCTTCTGAGGGGCACACGAAATGTTTATTTGTATTTACTTATTATTTGTATATGTTTTTGCAATATTTAATGGCAATCACTTCCGTGCTCGTTGAGTTTCGTGTGTTATTTGCCAATTGAGGGGTTTGGCGCCTATTTTTTGGTAGTGGAGAGTAGGCGAAACAAACCGTCGACTGAACCGCACGCTGTCAAAACAAGAACTGGTGACTTTAACCACTCAAGCAAAATTCTCGAGCGGAGTGGAATAAAATGGAATAGGAACAAAGGCACGAGAGAAAGCCGAACCACTTCGTCCTGTCGTATGTCATGAGGGAGGGAGAGCTACTGCTGCTGCTCTCTCCACTCAGCACACCGCCTCCTGTGCCTGCTTCCTCTTCCACATCCTGCGAGCGACAGATGTGCAGCTGCCGAGTGCATTTTCTCACTCCTTTTCACTTTGATCGGGATTACGGAACGCATTTCCATACAAAGCATTTGGTAATTGCATTCCGGATTGGGCACAATCGACTGGTTAACAGTAACTAAACAAATAAATACAACTAGATTTATAAATCTGTAAGCCAAGTCAGTTTTTATACCCTTGCAGATGGTATTATAATTTTGTTATACCCTTGCAGTGAGTATTAAAATTTTGGTCAAAAGTGTGCAACGCAATGAAGGAGACATCTCCGACCCTAAAAAGTATATATATTCTTGATCAGGATCACCTCCTGAGTTGAATTAGCCATGTCCGTCTGTCCGTCTGTCTGTTTCTACGCGAGCTAGTCTCTCAGTTTTAAAGATATCAAATTGAAATTTTGCACACACCCTTCTCTTCTTTGCACGCAGTATATAAGTCGGAACGGCCGGGATCGGTCGTGTATATCCTATAGCCACCATATAACTGATTGAGTTGACTGAGGAAGTTGTAATTTTTCGGCGCTCGATCGGTCCCGTTCTGATGAATATACTACCTGAAGTAGAAATAATACTTTTGGGAAAGTTTCTTTTAGATACCTATAAAGCTGGGAGACTTGTTGGTCTAAAAAGAGATAGACGGACATGGATAGTTCGACTTTCCTGGTGATGATGATTACAAGCTGGATTATAAGCTGGAAATGTCTCTTTTACTGTTGACTAAAATTTGAATAGCCACTAAAAGGATAAATACAAAAGTAAATACCCGATTAGAGCACAAAATATAACAGTGTAACATTCTAAAAATCAATTTAAGTTAATTGATTAAAAATATATTTCAAATCAAATACACCTCATCTGGAAATTAAATGGCATACTTAGTTTCTTAGAAACATATTAAGCGAAAACAAGAGAGAACGCTATAGTCGACTATCAGATACCCGTTACTCAGGTAAAGGGAGTGCGAGGGAGATGGAGATAGAAACTTTGATCACGCATAACTTTTTAATGAATGGTCCGATTTGAAAAATTTCTTCTACATTTCGATAGGTATTGATAAACACAATAAAACTGCATTTTTACTTTTCCGAAATATTTAAATTTTTAAAATCGTATATAAGCGATTGTGGGCTTTTATAGTTTCCGAGATCTCAGCGTTCATACGGACGGACAGACGGACAGACGGACATGGCTATATCGACTCGGCTAGTGACCCTGATCAAGAATATATATACTTTATAGGGTCGAAAACGCTTCCTTCTAGCTGTTACATACTTTTGCACGAATACAATATACCCTTTTACTCTACGAGTAACGGGTATAAATATCTGTATCAGAATAATAAGCACTGTGTTTTTTTAATCGATTTCTATTTATTATTTATAGGTAATTTGAGCTCTTCAGAATGTAATTTGTTCACCCCATCATATTTTAATAGCCGCAAATGTGTGGTATATGTAAAATTGTTTGGGCAGAATACTATTACACTATAAATTTACATATTATTCTGAGTATTTATTAAGAACTGTCTACCGCTCTATGCATGTAAATGTTTGTATTTTTACATTTGCTTAATATGTAAAGAGTTTGTTGTTAGTTTTTTGTTATTTACGCAAACAACTTTATGTATTAAACAAATGTTGGAAAGGCCAAACTAATAGCCCTGATAGATTCATTATAGATAGGATATTAAAAACACCTTTTTTTCATTTCGGGTTTGCCGCCGTCAAGATGTTTATTTCATTATTATTAGTCTTAGCCGCCCTCTTCGTCGCACTCGCTGACCTTGTTCATGCCGATTTTGGCGCCCACCTTTGCACTGGCCCGCTTAAAGTGGTCGTTCAACTTGATCTGCACCACGTTGATGAACATGGAGGTCAGGGCCAGGCCGAATATCAGGTAGATCATGCTGACCATCACCAAGAAGGGGTTTCCGGGCAGAAGGTCGCCGAAGCCGATGGTGGACATTGATATGAACACGTAGTAGAAGGCGTCCAAAGTGGACCATTCCGACTCCACCAGTGTGTAGCCGTAGGTTCCCAGCAGGATGTACGAGAGGACCAGGAGCGAGGCCACCGACACCGGCAGGTTGAACTCGTCGTCCACTTCGAAGGTCTCCGGATACGGCGACGTAGGCTTCTCCGGGTCCGAGGTGGCCAGCGATCGGCCCGCCTCGGCACCCGCCTGTGAGTCTTCGTCGTTCGTCTCGCTGGACTTGCGGAAGAAGATGGTTTGCCGCCGGATAGCATTTTCGTAGACATCGGAGAAGCCGATCATGGGGTCGCGGATCTGCTGCTGCCTCCGTATCCTGCGGCAGGTGCGGGTGTAGTACAAGCGGCGCACGTACCTCCACGGAAACTTGACGCCGCGCGTGAAGGGCTTTCCCAGATCGGCCATCACGATCAGGAACATGGGAATGCCGATGATGGCGTAGACGATGGTCAGTGATCGGCCCAGGTCCGTCTTTGGAGTGATGTAGCCATATCCTGAGAAGCAGAAGAGGGCAAAAGAGTTTTACAAAGCTATAGTTGGTTCACTGTAAAGCAAATTCTAAACAAATAATACTCCAGGATAAATAATAGCCAAAAGCGATAAAAAACAAACTATTTTTTACCTCGCTTAAAATTCCATCGACAAACAGTTTTTTAGTTTTTTGAAAAGAAGTTTTGTGCCAATGATCAAAGAACAGTAATAAAGAATGCCACCTCAAAAGGAAATTCAAAACTACTAGTTTACAAAAAATACTTAAATTATACCTAGAAAGATCTGATGGTAGCTAAGAAGGAGTTTAAAAAAAATTCATTTTCTAGACCATATTAGGTAAAATTTATTAATTCGTAACCAAAATCTGCAAATAAAACAAGTCAGAACAAAAAAAGAAAACATTTCTTATTGCATTGCATTACATCAACAATATTTCTGTTTAGGGTTTTAAAAAGCCTGTGTGTTTTCCCATAGTTTCAGAAATATATATTTTTTAAAATTTTCTTGCTAAAAACTGGCTCTAGCTTTAACCAAACTTGAACAAACTTAGCCAGAAATGTGTTGATAATCGGGAATTATTCCTTATTCCCGCTTTCTGATGAAAGCCCAACGATTGTTCCAATGGAAATATTACCTATGGTTGTAATTACGGTCCAACAGAAGATAAAGCACTTGACAAAGTTCCACGACTTTTGACCCGGATACCGCAACTTCTGGCGCGCGAGAGACTTCCAGTCCTCCTCTCTGGCAAAGATACAAATGGATCACTCCCTGAACTGGGCCACCGAGCCATCTAAGATTTGGAAAGATGCATGTCAATAGCTTTTACACTGCGCAAAATATCTTCAATTCTTGCAAGTTTTTTCTGATTGTTCCTATGGGAGCTATTGGATATAGACGTCCGATCGGGACGATTTTCAAACTTGATCTGCGATTATAAAAGTTTCAGATCGCTAGCTTTTAAACTGAGCTCGCAAACGCTATTGAAACAGACGGACATGGCTATATCGACTCCCCTATTGATCGTGATCAAGGATATATATTCTTTATGTGGTCGGAAACGTCCCATTCACAGTGTGACAAATTTCTGACCAAAATTATAATACCCTCTGCAAAGGTATAACAATACAATTTAAATTTAACAGTGGTTTTTTTATTAACTGATAATTATTTGCTAATTTAAAGTTCATAGCTGCACTAAGTTCTAACAGGCGATTTTTCAAAGTTTTTTTCGTACATTTTTGACCTAAGAAACACTTTTTGACAAGAGGCACCCCAAAAGCTTAACACCTGATGATATCTCCATTGGGACTCCTCCAGCACTTCCACTTTTCAGTCGCTTGAATTTTATGTGGTATTTATAGCCTTCCCGCAGCGACTTCCACGCCAGCTTGCAACTATTATCTAAACATAAATATTGTTTATGTCCACGTTAACAAATATTTAATAATGTACAATTATGACTTACTGTCCTTATCCATTTCCCAGGCTTTTTTCCCCACGCTCTTTTTACAAATGTTGCATTAAAATGTTTATTATTTGACTAATCCCACTATGCTGTGTGGGACTCCACAGATCGCATTAATGTTATTTTGTCCTCACATGTAAACTTCTGCAATCGACTTTGCGGGTTTTTTATTTTTTCCCTCCATTTTTCAAAATGTTTAGTGAGAAGCGCACGCCAAAAGATACTTTTCTTAACCATTTTTTAATCTTTGCGCTAGGGTTCTTTAAAATTCATCTCAGGTGGTTGGCAATGCGAAGTAATTTTCTGGTATTTCTTCGTCGATCTGAGTACCGAGGTGAAGAAAAAGCCTGAGTTGAAGTGTACGCCAGCTGTTTGCCTCTCGCTCCCTCTCATGACTGTCGTGCAGTTTTCGTCGATCTGAGTACTAGGCTAAAGGAAATAAATTTGATTTGTTATGAGTTGGTCATACTGGCAATGTGAAAAAAATAGTTGTGAAAAATAGACGCGCTAGGAAAGCACAAAATTGAAACGCAGAATAAAGATTCGAAACGAGAATTTGTGTGTATTTGGCTGATTATGTGGATTTATTGGAATTCATTTCTTACTTTTCGTTTGTGCACCAGAATTTATTTACTAAAATAAGCTTTTCCCCATTTTTCTGGCTGACTGTAAAACAAGTAGGCAAGCAGAAAATAACATTTAGAACAAATCCAAAATGCTAGTGAGTCGAATAAAAGTGGCTATCAAATCATTAACTAACCACATTTATATGAAACATATTTTCACGAGGTGGAATAATCATTCAAATGTTAGTGAATATACCGCGATTTAGTCGGTTAAAATCATTTCAATTTTCATGGCATGTTTATGGGCCAGAAAAGTGATTTGCAAATTAAAAGTGAAATTAAAAGCAAATTTAATTGGGAATGCGTAAAGAGGATGGTCGGCGAGTTATTTATAGGTCCCCAATTAAGAGCTGGGACAGTATTCCAAAGAATTTCGGCGCCTCTTGAGAGATCTCATAACTGTCCGCGCAAAAAGAGACACAAATTGTTATACCATTGCAGAGGGTATTATAATTTTGGCCAGAAGTTTGTAACGCCGTGAAGGAGATATTTCCGACCCCATAAAATATATATATTGTTGATCAGGATCAATAGGGGAGTTGATATGTCCGTCTGTCCGTCCGTCCGTCTGTCCGTCTGTTTCAATACCGTTTGCGAGCTCAGTTTAAAAGCTAGCGATCTGAAACTTTTACAGTCGTCCTAAAACATATGTACGCAGAACAAGTTTGAAAACCGCCTCGATCGGATGTCTATATCCTATAGCTCTCATAGGAACAATCGGATATAACTTGCAAGAATGGAAGATATTTCGCGCAGTGTAAAAGCTATTGACATAAACCTCTCTAAATGTTATTTTTTTATGCATACCTTGATCAGGGTGAAAGCGCGTGCCGATCGGACGTCTATATCGTTTAGCTTCCGTAGGAAAAATTGTTAAAGGCTGCGAAAATATATCTTTCTTTCTATTTTTATACCCTTGCAGAGGGTATTATAATTTCGGTCAAAAGTGTGCAACGCAGTGAAGGAGACATCTCCGACCCTATAAAGTATATATATTCTTGATCAGGGTCACCTCCTGAGTTGATATAGCCATGTCCGACTGTCTGTCCGTCTGTCTGTTTCTACGCGAACTAATCTCTCAGTTTTAAAGATATCGAATTGAAACTTTGCACACACCCTTCTTTCCTTTGCACGCATTATATATGCCGGAACGGCCGGGATCGGCCGACTATATCCTATAGCTGCCATATAACTGATTGATCGGAAATGCCATAACTTTGGTGTTTGTAAAGTTAGAAAGTTGGGATTTCCTATGGGTTTTATTTTTGGCCAATTAATCCGACCTACCAAATTTCATATGGATCGGCCGACTATATCCTATAGCTGTCATATAACTGAACGATTGGAAATGCCATAACTTTGGTGTTTTTAAAGTTAGGAAGTTGGGATTTTTTATGAGTATTAAGAATGCATCATATGAATAATTTTGGAGAATATAATTTACAGAGTATTCTGCAAGGGTATATCAACTTCGGCTCCGCCCGAAGTTAGCTTTCCTTTCTTGTTATATGACATTTTTGCAGTATAAAAGCAATTGACATGAAACTATGCAAATCTAGTTTATTTATGAATATCTTATTCCTTTCGCAACTTTTTTAATTTAAGCAATTTCGGCAAAGTCTGCAAGGGTATTAAAACTTTGGCTTGCCGAAGTTAGCTTCCGTCCTCGTTTATCTCACAAATGCCGACGATCGTAAAAATATTCAAAACCATTTCCATCACATATATTTTGTTGGTTTAATTTTGAATAAGAATAAACATAAATAGACCGTCTTGCCTCCTAAGAAAACATATGTATAATATCGGCGTGGGAGTCTTTGCACTCACAATACGAGAAAATTCACCTAGAAGGGTCTTTGAAGGTCAACTCACCTATGGTTGTGTATATGGTGCAGCAGTACACCATGGATTCCCAAAAGGACCAGGGTTTCGGCTTCTCCGCCAGTCCGTCCCTCAGTAGCGATTCCACCGCCGAAGAATGATTTTTCATTATTCGCAGCACTTGACTGTCGAACTCTATTTCCAAGAACTAATTTTCACAAAATTATAGATGGTTTTGGACCTCAGAAATTTTCTCAATGATCTTACCCCGCTCAGTTGTGGATCCTTGGTCATCTGACGCATTTCGTCGAAGAAATTTCTCTGCAGTCCCTTGAGCTCCAGTAGTTCCAACTTATCATGAGGAAGTAAAACTTGACCTATGTCAAAGGGGTACCAAATGGCCAAATTAGCAACGTTGATTTGCAATGCAGACTTCGCGCTTAAGGAAATAAATCTAATGGATTTGGCTTTCCAAATTAGAGAAATCGCCTATTGCATTCAGAAAATTCTAAATGTTTCTATTACACTAGCTTCAGGAACCTCCATTCGCTCGTTAATCATCTTCAACTGGTCGTCTTGGTTGTTTATAGGATGTTTATCTATGAGATTCGAGTGTTCCTTCACCCGTTCAATGGATTACAGTATAGCGCACACATTTGGCTGTTGTATGTATTTGAATGGCTGGGAACTGTTTACTATTTTCCAAACAATATCCGAAGAGCTTGATAAGCAAAGTCGTTTAGTGGACTTCTTCGTCCGTGTAGCTTTTCTTTGTTAGGGCAAGTTAATGAATATCGTCACAGAATCACTCTCAGCTAAAAAAACACTATATCTGCTGATAAGGTCGTAGCTCACCTTCGATGACCTTGAACAGGAGCGCCCCACCCAGGCTGTAGAGTGCCAGGATAAAGATCAGGAACAAGTGGGTGAACCTCCGCCGGGACCACCGGTACATGCCCAAGGTGAACTTCTCGCCGAAGGTGAACTGCACGTCGAACCTCATGCCCAACTTGGTGAGGTCGGGGAAGCCCGCGGGCCACGGTCTGTATCCGAAGGGATATTGTTTAGGTGGCCAAAAAAGATCCTGTGTCTCCGTGACCGTGGAGTTCGGCTGAGCCCTATAAGTTGCCTGGGCACTCGGGGGCATGGAGGCTTGAGTCATCGCCGATCCCCCGGTCAGGTCGTGGATGTTGGGTGGGGTGCTGGAGATGGGCGTTACAATGTGGGCCTCCGACATCGTCGAGGGTTTGCTGAACTAATCTTAGAATAACTCTGAGTTTATAGAGGTTTACTATGGCTTATTTTAAGATCTGCGTTGATCATCAAGCCAGCTAATGCTGGCTGGCCTTTCCGCTTCTGACCGCCTCGTTCTTGAATCCAATGCGAACTGAACAAAAGCAAAATATTTTGGCCAACATCGGTGCTGTTGTCGCTTTCGCTGGGAGCGCTGTAGTATTTGTATTAGCCAAGAATCTCCGGCTGCCGCCGACTATGACGAAATCGACAGTCACGAGCTCACGGGGCTCCGTTTCTGCATCCGTCTCCATCGAGCAATCACCAACTGATCTCGGCGCTCAAGCTGATTATTTCATAATTATGTGATAGGGTCGCGCAGTCTCTGCTGTACTTCTTAAATCGATTTTTGTTTTACTTAAAGCGTAGTAATTTTATCGCAAATATTTTCGCATTTACTTGATAATTTGCATAAAATTAAGAAAGGAGGATATTAGTCATTCGTGCCCGGCAGTCATTTACGTTTTCATAGAACTCTGTCTAATATACTTTGCCTTTTTTATTTGGCTTACACACAAATGATGAAGCACTTTCTGGGAAACGCTTAAGACATTTTTAAATAAAAGCTGTTCAGATCAATTCAAATTAAATAAACATATATTTTTGTATTCATATTAATAAATACAATTAAGATGTAAGCAATTGTTTTGTTTTATTTACTGAAGTGCAGCCATTTAAATTGTTTCCAGCTTTTCATATATTTAGACATTGCCGATAAAAATGTATGCCAAGAAAACAAAATATTTTTATATTTCTATTCTTTACCAATTTATTTTCTTTATGATTAGGGCTCATTTGTTATTTCTTAAAATAAATATTACGTAAAAACGTTCAGACGATTAAAATTAAAAAGTTTTTAAATTAAATCGGAAGCGATATTTTAGCAGTTACTGAACTCAGTATTCATTCTGCTCACTATTTGAATATTTTTGCAAGAATAAATCGAATATTTTCAGTGTCAAACTGGATATATTATTTGATTAAAAATATTTGTAAGAATTAGCTTGCTCTGGGCCTTTATTCTTGGTATTAATGGTATTGTACCAGGTCGAGGTTAAGTGTCGGCTTAGACTTAAAATTAAATCGGCCACATTTATTGAAACCAGAAGGGTGAGTTCTCTGAAGGGGAGTAGGACTTCCCAAAGACCCGCTGGGCAAGACCATCAACTCAAAAAAGCCCCCACGGGCTCATAGAGATTTTATGTTTTTAAATTGAGGTTTCACGATGATGTTTTTGTTTATCATACCCTTGCAGAGGGTATTATTATTTCGGTCAAAAGTTTACAACGCAGTGAAGGAGACATTTCCGACCCTATAAAGTATATTTATTCTTGATCAGTATCACCAGGAAAGTCGATCTAGCCATGTCCATATACTACCTGCAATAGAAAGACAACATTTGAGAAAGTTTCAATCAGATAGCTTTAAAACTGAGGGACTACTTTGCGTAGAAACGGACGGACGGATAGACGGACAGACGGACATAGCTAGATCGACTTTTCTGGTGATATCATAAAATTTATGGTAAAATGCCCTACTTTTAAGAAATATTTTTTATTTTTAAAAAAAGTTTTTATTGTTTTTAGGTTTTTTGCCTTAGATTTTAGAAAGGATCGTCCTTAATTTTAGAAAAATTTAACCTAGATTTCATGGTGCGATGCCATTAAAGACACTAATATGGCGAATTTCTTGTCTTTAGGGTATAAGTGTAGTGGATAGCGATAGTCCATGGTGAAGACGTCCTCAGAGGTGCGCCCAAATTGCTTCACTACTTGGGATCGGAGTCGTGGAACATGTGACTGCGTTTCATCATTCCACACCACATCTTATTGTGGAGCTCCACAATATTGTCCACGTTCTGAAAATATTAAGTAATCAGTATGTATTTATTTGGGAATCATAATCGATTCACCTTCATTTTTCACAGGTCCAGAATACCATGCTGCTTGGGATCCCCAGAACTGATCTTCACACGCTGGAAAGTGCTCACTCATGCCCGACAGTATAACAGTCATGTTGCGAGGGTCCTTGAATCCCAGAATATTCCTGTCCTGTAATTAAAATTTACCAAATTAAATTAATTTTTATTTAACTAAGTTATTAACGAGGAGTAAATCGTTTAAATCGTTTCTTATAAGAAAACAAGAAAGGAAAGCTAACTTCGAGCAGAGCCGAACGGACGGACAGACGGACATGGTTATATCAACTCAGGACGCAATCCTGATCAAGAATATATATACTTTAAAGGGTCGTAGATGTCTCCTTTACTGCGTTGCACACTTTTACCAAAATTATAATACTCTCTGCAATGGTATAATGATGTAAAATGATCTCTTCATTTGAGCTTTAAAATGTTGTGTTAAGCAAACCGTTCTTTGAATATTCGTTCGCAGTCAAACTTTGTATACAAAGTAATTTGTATAATTCAGTAACAATAATTATTTTAAATCAGTTGTTTTTATTTAATTGTTTTTAATCTAATTTTGCATAAAATCTTACCATAAAGTTAATATGCCAAAAATTAAGAACCGCAGTACCTAAAACTGAGTTTTAAGAAATTGACTAGTCTTAAAGAAAAATCTTTCAGCCTGAGGCAGCCTTCTATTTTTCGTAATTTCTATTTCAGTTAACCAGTTATTACTCACATATATGTGAGATATTATTTAGTACAGTTTATTAATATTATTTCGCGGTGCACAGTTACTGAATATAATAATTGGCTTTTATTAAATTGCTGGATAAATGCTGCTGCTTTCTGCTGATTCTTTCACACACGTTCGGCTGCTTCGATTCTCTTCTGCTACTGTCCTGTTCGGCTGCTACTTCTTCTGCTACTGTCCTGTTCGGCTGCTACTTCTTCTGCTACTCCTGTGCTGTACGACTTCTGCTGCTGTTACTCTGCTGTACGACTTCTGCTGCTGTTACTCTGCTGTACGACTTCTGCTGCTGTTAACCAGTGTGCCTTTAGTAGATCTGCTTGCCTACTCTCTGTTACATTCGGTCATCCTGATTAGTCATCAGTCCCTGATGACCATGCCTCCTCGTTGTGTACAGAAAAACTCCATAATTTCATGTTATCATTGCTCGTGCTCGTATTTTTGGGTCCCTCGACGTCTGCTGCTTTTCGTACATTATAACGTCCGCCTCGTTTCACTTCTGTTATTTCGTATGGACCTAAGAATTCGCTAGCCATCTTTCTCCCAGCTACGAATTGCGTTCTACGGATGGCGACGAGATCTCCAACTTTGTATCCGTACTCGCATTTTCGCTTTTTATCAAATTGCTCCTTATATTTTGTCTGGGCCTCCCGAATATTATCTTTTGCTTCTTGTCGCATTTTCTTTCTTTCGTCATCAAAGTTATCAACCATCTCCTTTTCTAGTAGTTGAAGTATATCGCTATCTGGTCTACAACGCATTTTTATCCCGATCAGCAGCTCAAATGGAGAACGCTTTGTAGATTCATGAACTGTGCCATTGATAGCCATCTGAACTCGAGGTACAAACTTGTACCATCTTCCAGGTTCCTCCGACGACAACTTTGAAATAATGCTCAGGATGGATCGGTTTACACGTTCTATTTGTCCATTGCCTCTTGGAACTCCTGTGGTGCTCCAAACGTGTTCGATGTTTTCTTCCTTCACAAATTCCTCAAAGCTAGACGACGTAAATGCTGCTCCGCGATCGCTTACTATACGAGCTGGATTACCAAAGATGTCCGACCATTCCGGTAACTTCTTGAGGACTTCGTCTGCACCTGTTGTTTTGGTGGGATACATCCATACGAACTTGCTAAAGCTGTCAACCATCGCGTAGATGTACTTGTATTGCTTTGAAGTAGCATCCATTGGTCCCAGATCGTCTACGTGTATAGTATGAAGCGGCTCTGATCCTTTGTCGATTTGATGCAAAAACCCATCTTTTTTGCCCAACTTTTTGTTGTAGATTACATACAGTTTCCTAGGATCTGCTGTACCTTCCCTTCTAGATGTGGGATCCAATGACTCTGCTGTATGGCATGCATTGTCTTTTGTACGGCAAAGTGGCCTGCGTTGTGTGCCTCTGTTATTATCTCTCTCTCCAGCGATTTCGGTATTGCTAACCGATCCGTTCCCTGCACAACCTTGTACACCAGACCAGCCTTTAATTTAAAGTTGTCATATGGTTTACTTTTCAGGATTTCGGAGACTGCTTTAATCATCGTATCCTCCTGCTGGGCTTTCTTGATTCTTGCTGTGACTTCCGACGATACCATCATGACATCAATTGGGTATCGACTCAGGCAATCCACGTGCTTCAGCCGCTCTCCTGGTCTGTGTTCCACCTCGAAACTGTAGTCCTGCAGGTACAGTACCCATTGGGCTACCTCTCGCGGAACGTCCTTCTTGCTTAACGTTTGCTTAAAAGCGGCGCAATCAGTTACAAGCTTGAAGTTGGTGCCGAGTATGTACTGACGGAATTTTTGCATGCGAGAAAAATAGCTTTGGCTTCTTGTATATGCTGTCGTGCTTCAGACTCCGAGGTTTTCTTGCTCCAGAATAAGACCGGATGCAATTGTCCTTCATGCCACTGTAACAGCGTAGCTGCGAACCCATCCTTCGACGCGTCGGTGTGTATCTCAGTTTTTGCATTCCTGCGGTAGAGTCTTAGCACCGGCTCGCTCACCAATGCTTCCTTTAATATGGCGACCGCCTGCTGTTCTTCCAGACCCATTTTAAATTTAACGTCTTTTCGCAGCAAATTCGTTAGTGGTTTTGCGATCAGTGAATAGTTTTTTATAAACTTGCGGAAAAACCCAGTTAATCCCAAAAACGACTGCACCGTCCTGATGTTTTGCGGTATTGGAAACTTTCTAATGGCTTTGGTTTTCTCCGGTCCTGGCTTAATTTCTCCTCCTCCAACTTGATGTCCCAAAAATGTTATTGAGGACTGCAGGAATCGACAT